TATTTCCTACTTGAATCAGTTCTTGCCTCATATATCTCAGCGTTCACTGGTTAGGTGCACAAATGCGTGATGAGCGCGTGGCTCCGGAATAATCGGGGTTTAGGGTATGCAAATGTCCCTCTGTCTCTACCAACACTTCTTAGTCTTTTTTTGGTCTAATATCAGTACTACCATTTCAGTTCTTTTTTATTACTGTTTAGATGGATTAGTTTTCCCATCTTTCTACTTTAGCTGTTGTAGAAATTTTCACAGCTGATGGATAAGCAGTGGATAAGATTTCTCAAAAAATAAATGAATGAAGGAAAAATGAAAAGCAGAGAAAAAATGTTTCAGTTCACAGTCAGTGAATATCCAGATGGGCTTCCTTTTCAACTTCTTTCATGTTTTTGGTACTAGGAATTGAACTCAGGATCCTGTTATCTGAGCTGCGCTATATCCCCAGCTTCCTTTGCAACTCCTATCATGCCCCTTTTCCTGTCTCAATAGAACCCTGACTTTGTTCAGTACCCATCCCCCCTAGATGAGGCACTCGCTTAGAGGAAGCAAACCCGTTCCTGGCTTGCAGGGTTGAGCTGCTGGCTTGTGGGTGGTCTCACAGTTTCTTCTCAGTAACTCAGTAACAGACTCAGAGTAGAAATAGGATCCAAAAGGGCTCAGTCAGGCTGCGGGAAAGGGGAGTTATTGCCAAGTTGATGGAGAGATACACTGTGCTTCTCCGGGAAGCCTGTTGCCCACTCCCTGCATCTTAGACTGCTGTAACTGTGTGTCCAGTATGATATGGTTATTGCCAAGTGAAAAGGGACTCCCAGGAGACTTTGAGGAGGCCATTTACGACTGGTGTGCTGGCTCAATGAGGTTAGATTTTAGAATTCTTTTCAGCCAACCAGTCCAGTTGCTTCTGGCAGCAATCAGGCAGAGTGTTGGCAGGGGGTGACCAAAGAAGTATAAAGCCAAGAACACCTCCCCTCCTGACATTACCCTGAGGTCTGCTCTACTGTTCGGCTTCCAGTTAGGTGAGTGAATGAAGCTCTATGTCATGTATGCCCGGTTTGAATTTCACTTCTGTTACTTCAAGTTGAAAGCATAACAAAAGCTACAGCAGGGGAATAAACTCACAGAGAGACCAAGGAGTGATAACAGAGGATAATCAGCTGAATGTGATCTGATCGGAGACGAGATGAAATTTTACAAAGGAAAAAGCATGCACAGACGGTACTAACTGCAGTAGTTTTATCAAGAGAGGTTGTTTCTGTATAATTTCTCCTTTGGAGATGGTTCTCTCAAAATTCATCTTCACAAATTGTCAGCATATCATAGTTTTCTGATTTATGAAGTTATCTGAGGCTTAAGTGAGGGCAGTCTATAGTACAAGTAGATTGTGATGATTAGAAAGTATGCTTTTATAATGAAATATACAATAACCATGTTGAGATCATACTGAAATGTCTCCTTTCCCCAAGAAAACCAAATTGATGAAGTCTTATATGTCTCTGAGACACATTTTATTCAACATAGTTTTTTGCAAAAAAAAAGATTATGAAAAATTTTAAACATATACCCAACAGTAGAAAAAAAGCATAAAAACCCTCCACAATCCATCACTTAGATTTCAGAATCATCAGTGTTTTGTCACTCCTGCCCTTCCTTTCCTGCTTCCCTCACAAGCAAAATCAACTGCTGGAAAATCAGAATATACCATCTTCACATGATCTTCTACAAACCATGCATAAATATCAGATTTCTCAGGCTAGATTATGGATTTCCATGTTACGAAAGCCCAAGAGGTAAATGACATTTTCATATTTTGAATAAAAGATAGCATTGTAATTAAGTTCTATTTTATTAATGTCTACTGACCCTTTGCCTACCCAAGCCACAAAGTAGACAGTGTTAAAGTCCAGATTTAATTTACCAGTGTATATATTTCCAATTGTTTATAACTAGTACCTTATTAGATTCACTTAGTTTCTCTATCCTAATTATCTGCTGGAACATTTACTAACAATGTTTATGTAAACCTTAGGCACTCCTCAGAGTTTCCAGAAGGCTTGAAAAATGAAAACTACTTTTTGTTTTTCTCTTGAGGCAGAGTCTCACTCACTACATTGCTGAGGCTGGTCATGAATTCGTGATCTCTTTTACTCAGCCTCCCAAGAGTTGGGGCTGTAGGCATGTACACCAGGCCTACTGCAAAATTATCTTCTTAATAGTACAAGACGTTCTGTGCTCTTTTGGTGGCATTTGTGCCCCTGTACACAGTGTCTTCCAGGTGCTACATGATGTGTACTACTACTGCCCTAAAAGGTAGATGTGAGAATACTCAAATTACACCACTAACATATATGGTTTCAGTTCACATAAAAGACAAAAGCATCTGTTATGAGTAGTAAACCGGGGTGGTGCATTCATTTTTAGCAGACGTGGCTTTGTTCTGGCCTTCCGGTGAAATGGCCAGCGTAAGTGCTGTCTATATTCACATTTTCTTAGGTATGTGTGTGTGCGTGTGCAGGCCACGCAGCCTGCCCTGGGTATAGCCGAAGGAGGTCTGCTTCTTCTTGAGCCTGCCTGCATGGATGTCTCTTCTTGTAAAGTAGATCGTGTACAACATTCAGTGCACTGAAGGTAAGCCACTGTCAACAGCACTGGTGTTTCAAGCTGTTATTTTTTTTGGAATAATTGACAAATGAGGGATCTTGGCTTTGTGCCTGAATTCCCTGCATGTGTGATACTGATCTAGTTTTATTTTTGGCTTTGCAACTGTGGCGTAGGTGCAAGTTCTGTTCTGTTCACTGCATTTAAAATTTAAAGAGTATGCGCTTGATAGAGCGCCTTCAGTGTACTGTTTCTTATTAACATTACTTTTTAAAATTAAACTTGCCATAGACTTTACATCCATTTCATTAAATACAGCTCCTAATGACATAGAAACAATGAAGCTTTCATTAACTAAAATAACTATAAATGTTGAGGCCTAATTCTGAAAGTCCTCATAGTTAAAGGTTAGGTAGACAGCATAAGGAACTTTTAACTATTTGCATGTCATTTTGAAAGTGTACTCCTTTATGGGAACAATGTTTTCCATTTGTTCATTGTTTTCATTATTAGTGATTATGTTGTCTTTCAATGCAGGCATAAACCTCCCACTCTTGAACAAAGCAGCTGCTTTTTAAAAGCGGTAATTGCTTCTTCACCTTTTATTTCTTTTTGGGTCTACAGGGTGTTCAGGGTCTCACTACTAGATCAACTCATAGTAATCTTCCTGTTTACAGCCTCCCAAGTGCTGGGATTACAGGCGTGCACCACCACACCTAGTCTCAATTGCAGTCTCAGCGTGCCCTGGGGGCAGGTCCAGCATGGCAGGCCTGGGGATTGAAGCCCGGACCTCTGCGCCTGCTTGCAAGTGCTTTAATTCACAGAGCTATTTGGCCAGGCCAAACTTTTCTTTCAGCATGTGACCTTAAAGTGTTGTCTATTGCACAAAACAGCTGACTCTCACTTACTGTACAGTGAAGATGGTTCTACTGTATGTGAAGTGGACCATGCAGATCTCTGCATGTTCTCAGTATGCATCACTAGATAATAAGGTCCTCTGTGAACAAGGGAGCAAAAAGAGAGAATGCTCTGTTTTCTGTGAATTCAGGCATCAAAATGGTATGTAAATATTTAAAACACTTGCAATATTCTCACTACATTGTGCTCCAAATTTTCTGACCAAGAAGATTATGGAGCCACAGAGGAATGTGATCGATGATGTATAATGTGCCTCGGGAGAGTCACTTGGAGAGAAAAAACATTCTCTCAGGCTTTCACAGAGAGCAAATTGGTCAAGCAATGGCCGTGACTCATCATGGCTGACACTGACAAAGGATCTACAAAGTGTGGTACAGGGTTACAGGATCAATCCTGAGGGGATTTGACTGACCTTGTCAGACACAAAAGTTATAATTCTTGTTATATAGGTCTTGCTTTATCTTGATCTTAGCCATCCAACAGAAAAGTATAAAAACGAGGTATGTAAAGTAAAGCCATATTAATACGATGAGCTGTAAAAGGCTCAAGTCAATAACTTCTGAGGATAACCCACTAATATGACAGACTGCTAGACAGTGTTGGATTGTTCAGCTGAATTCAAACACCTATAGTATTTAGATGCCAATAGAATATCCACCTCTGACAGGACTAAAAAAAAAAAAGGGGGATACAAAGGAAAGATCATTTTGTATTTATATATACAAAATAGTTAGGAGAGATATATAGCTACTTTTGTTTAATTCAATGAGAAGAAAGAGGCATACAAATAGTGTTTGGACAGGATATCCTGTCTGCTTCTTGTACTATGGATAACCACTAAGAAGATAATAATGTACAATGTATTGATTATCTTTATTTTTTTTTAATTTTTATTTTTATTTTTTTTTTTGCGGAACTGGGGATTGAACTCAGGCCCTTGCACTTGCCAGGCAAGCACTTATTCTACTGAGCTATCTCCTCAGCCCCTGATTATCGAAACTGTCCTATTAATCAGCTTTGAAACTGTCTCATTCATATTTGTTTCTCAATTAAATTAAAAAAATATTCTCACTACATTTCATTTTGAAAATATAATTACTTTACAAATTTTACTCCTAGTAACATATAATAGAGTCATTATTATTTTATGGAATTCACACATGAATTTTTCTTTTCTTTTTCATTTTTAATAATTTTCTCTCAATTTTAATTTATAATAGTATGTAGAGATATAACACACATTAAAAAAAAAATTTCCTGGAATGACCACTCCTTTTCAAGAGCACAAGGCCATCTTAAGTCCAAAAAGCCTGGAGACCCACCAAACAACCTGCATCATTTAAAGGTCACTGTGAGCCATATGGATGAAAAGGATCTTTTGTCCTACTTCTGCAAATAGCACAGTCCTCTTTCTGACATTCGTTTTCATGATACATGTTCTCTGATTTTGAGGACAAAAAGATGGCGATGATGTCCATGTTAGCACTCACCTTTACGAGCTCCGTGTAGCCGGTCTCCTTTGGGGTCCACCAGGGCTGGGCCTTCAGTCCGTTCACATTGTAGAGCGAGCGCTGCCACACAGATGCGAAGTGTCCTCTCTTGTGGCCAAGCTCATACCACTTATATGCCTGAAAAAAACAGAAGGACTGCCTCTTACTATTCTTTCAGTGAAGGATTTTTGTTAATTTTAAAATCACAGTATCAAAAAAAGTATTAAGAGATGTTACTGGAATAGTGATACGATTATGTACACTGGAAACATCCTAAATCAAAAATGCATTTAATCCACACGATGTACTTAACAACACAGTGCACTGTCAAGTGTTGGCGATCACCCCTCGTGATCACGTGGAAGACTGCGAGCTGGGACTGCCTGCTACTGGACAGCATCACAAGACAGCACTGTACTACTTATTGCTGACCTGGGAAAAGACTGGACTTTGAAATATAGCTTCCACTGGACACATAGGCTTTCACATGACCATAACCTTGAAAAATCTTAAGTCAAAGACTGTCAGAACTTGCCTGTTAGCTACCCAAGTCTATGGAAATCTGGACAAAATACTACTGGGTTTCTGGTTATTCCAAAGTAGTATCAAATATGGGCATAGCCCATGTCAGACGTTTTGCCTTTTGAGGTAGCAGGGACTGAATTCATGGCCATCACACTGAGCTACATTCCCAGCTCAAATTTTTCATTTTGAGACAAGGTCTTACTAAGTTTCTAATCTGCCCATGCTGAGCTGGAACTTGTTATCTTCTGCCTTAGTTTCTTAGAACACTAGGATTACAGGCTACCACAAAGTAAAGTATAAGCCCCCCCCCCACTAAATTAAGTAGATAGAAAAGAAATGCTATTCTGAGTTGGCATTATAGTTTGACATATCAGTTTAATTTTACAGTACAGATGATTAAAATAGGTTTCCACACAGAGCTACATTCCTGACCCTTTTCAGATTTTCATTTTGAAATTTTGTTAAACTGCCCATGTTGGGCTTGAATTTGGCATCCTCCTGCCTCAGCCTCCCAGAATGTTGAGATTACAGGCATGCACCATGATGCTTGGATCCATGGCCAAACCACCTGGGAGAGGAGCCACCTGCACTCAGAACTCGGAGTAGCTGCTAGCTTCAGCTAGTGGCCCCCAGCTGAGCTCAGGCCCAGCGGGCAGAAGGAGCAGGCTCGCTGCAATTATCCACTTACTTCCCTCCCAAAAGACACTGCTAGCCTGCTGGAATGATCAACATGGCCTGGGACTCGGTCTCCACATGCTGTCTACCAGTGACAGCAGAGACATACTCAGAAGTGGACGTCTTTATTTTCTTTTGAACTGGGAATCAAACTCAGGACCTCTTGCTTGCCAGGCAGGCACCATACTACTCAGCTACCCTCCCCATCCTTCTCTTTTTGCTTTTTATGGTTGTGGTGCTTTTGTTTTGTTTTTTTTTCTCCATTGTTTGACCTCATTTTTATATGTGTGTGAAAATATTTCTAGCCTCCTTGTGGTTGTGGTTCTGTTTGTCTTTTTATCTTTTCCTTTTCTCTTTCCCTCCAGTCTTTTGCACCAGTTTCCCAAAGTTAGTGTGATCTGCTTTTTTTTTTTTTTTTTTGGTACTGGGGATCAAACTCAGGATCTTGTGCTTGCCAGGCAGGCGCTTATGCCACCAGCCTATGTCCCTGGCCCTAGCATGATCTGCTTTTGTCTGCTAGTCTTACTTATAGTCTCTTCCTCTTCTTCCACTTCTCCATTTTCTCTGTAACCCATTTTACACTTTAATCCCTGAGAGTTGGGCCGGGAAGATGGCTCAGTAGAATAAGTGCTTGCCTGGCAAGCTCAAGGGCCTGAGTTCAAACCCCGGTTCCGCAAAAAAAAAAAAAAAAAGAATATCAATCCCTGAGAGCAAAATTGACATATAGAGGACTTGTATATGGCATATAATTTTCTAGTTTGTTTTATATTTTGGTATATAAACAGAAATATAGATCATATGGTTCATGGTGGCAAATTAACGGTTAACTAAGTTAGTAATTTTCTAGGCTGTGTTTGATGTTACTGTCTTTACTGATGGTACCACCACAGCCAAAAGTGATGAATTGTTCTAAACAGCTATTCTTTCTGGTATTTCAAAACTGAGATTCACTGTGCAGTGGCTCCGGAGCTGATACAGATAACAACATAGAGGAGCTTGAGAAAATTACGGAATGAATGCTCAGCATAGGCAAGAAATGAAATCCATAAGGCAGATTCGGGAAGGTATTCAGATTACAATTTTCATTAAAGCTATTTGCAGAAGATTAAATCAACATAAAGACAGGATCTCAGATATAGAAACAGGCTTGTTTTAAGCAATTATGAAAAGAAAGATTTCTTAAAAATAGCAAGGGACCATGAGAAATCAATACAGCAGCTGCCAAATGAGGCAAAGGAGAATTTAAGATTGACTGCAGTCAATGAAGAAGCAAGAGATAGCACAGATGAGATAAAAAAAAATTGTTCACAGACATCATGGCAGAAAACTTCGCTGTTAGAGGAAAAATAATTTGACATACAGAGAAGTGAGAGGCTTATAGAACTCCAATTACCCTCAGTCAGAACTCCAATTAGCCTATGACTGAGGCTACACACACACACACACACACACACACACACACACAGAGCATATCATAGTCAAGATTCCAAAAATTCAACATGAGAATAGAATCTTAAAAAACTACTAGGGAAAAAAGACAAATCACCTATAAAGGAAAGCCCATCAGAATCACAGCTGACTTTTTCTTAATTCAATGAGAAGAAAGATTTGTACTAGTGTTTGGACAGGATATCATGTTTGCCTCTTGTACTATGAATAAATACTATAAAGACAACAATATGCAATGTATCAATTATTGTAACTGTCCTACCAACCTGTTTTGAAACTGCCTTATTGCTATTTGTTTCTCAATAAAATTAAAAAAAGAATCACAGCTGACTTCTCAGCACACTTATGATAATCAATGTTAATGGTCTCAATTCACCAATCAAAAGACACAGACTAAAAGAATGGTTCAATAAGCAACATCCAACAATATGCTGCATACAAGAAACACATTTAATTCAAAAAGAAATTCATAGGTTGAAAGTCAGATGATGGAAAACAATATTCTATGTCACAGGAACCCAGAAAAAGAGCAGGGGTAGCTATTCTATATGAAGATAAAGTGTATTATTTCAAGCCAAGACTGATTAAGAGAGACAAAGAAGGTCACTACATCTTTGTAAAAGAGATAATCCAGAACTGGGTGTGGAGGCACATGTCTATAATCCCAGCACTCAGAAGGGTGAGGCAGGAGGATTGTTGCAAGTTCAATACTGGCCTGAGCTACAAAGTGAACTCAAGGCCAGCCTGAACTGCACAGGGAGACCCTGTTTCAAAAAGACAAAAATCATCATCATCTAAGAGAAAGTGATAGCAATCATACATTTATATGCAACAAGTACCACTGCATCCATTATATAAAACAAATATTAAAATGTATGGAAAATGAAATAAACACTAATACAATTGCATTCGTGCATTTCACTACCTCACTGTCATAAAAAGACATACATCAACTAGACAAAAAAAAAATCAATAATAAAATACTGGAACTGAACCAAACATTTGAAAAAATGGACTTAGTAGATGTCTATATTATTTCACCTCACAATATCAGAATACACATTCTTCTCACTGCACACAGCACATTCTCCAAAATAGACTACATGTTAGCTCACAGAACATGCTCAAGTAAATGCAAAGGAATTAAATTACCCATGCATATTATCAGACCATAGTGCAATGAAATTGGAAATCAATGGCAAAAGAAACCACAAGGACTTTATAAACCATGGAAATTAAATAGCACCCCTCCTGAACAACCAATGGGTCACAGATAAAATTAAAGAAATTAGACAGTTTCTAATTAAATGATAATGACCATACAACATATAAACTTGTGGGACACAATGAAGGCAGTCCTACAAGGGAAATTTATTTATGTATTTATTTATTTATTCTTATTTGGTACAGGGTCTCGATACACAGCTCAAACTCATAGTGATCCTCCTGTCTCAGCCTCCTCAGTGTTGGGATTACAGGCATGCATCATCATGCCCAGTTTTGGCGACCAACTCAGCATGGGGCCGGCATGGTATGCAGTACTGGGAATCAAACCCAGGTTCTTGAGCTTGCCAGGTAGGCACTTAGACCATTGAGCTATCTCTCTGGCCCATAAAAGTGAAATTTATAGCAGTGATTACCCATATCAGGAAAATAGAGTAAGCAAAAATAAACAATTTAATGGTGAACCTCAAACATCTAAGAAAAAAGGGCAGAGTAAACAAAAAGCTTATGTAAGAGAAGAAATTGCAAAGATCAGAACAGAAATTAATGTATTGGAGACTAAAAAAAAAAAAATACAAAGAAGCAGTGAAGTCAAAGAACTGGTTTCTTGAAAGATTAAATAAAATCAACGAACCTGTTAAAAACATTATCAAAAAAAGAAATACTCAAATCCATACAATTAGGAATAAAACAGGTGAAATCACAACAGACCCTGCAGCAATCCAGAAGATCAATACCTACTTTGAAAACTTATATTCTAATAAAATGGAAAATGCAGAAGAAATGGGCAGATTCCTAGATACATAAGAATTACCAAAGCTGAATCAAGAAGATATGAAAATCCTAAATAAACCAGTATGAATCAATGAAATCAGAGATGTAATTAAAAAACTACCAACAAACAAAAGCCCAGGCCCTGACCTGATGGATTCACTGCTGAATTCTACAAGAGATTCAGAAAAGACCTAATATCACTACTTTTCAAACTTTAACGAAATGGAAAGGGAAGGAACACTCCCAAGTTTATTCCTGGAAGGAGGCATTACCCTGATACAAAACAACAGAAAGACACAACTAAGAAAAAGAACTATAGGCCAATCTCTCTAATGAACATAGATGCAAAAATCCTCAATAAGATATAGGCAAACAGCCTGCAGAAAATCAGCAAAGACAGCATACTACAACGAAGTGAGATTCACACCCTAGGGATGCAGAGATGGTTGAACATATGTAAATCAATAAATATAATACACAATATTAACAGAGCCAAGAATGAAAATCATATGATCATCACAATAGATGCAGAGAAAGCTTTTGAAAATTCCAGCACCCATTCATGATAAAAACCCAACAGAAAATTAGAATAGATGGTCTTCATCTCAATCTGATAAAAGTCCTCTATGACAAATCAACTACCAAAATCATACTAAATGGGCAAAAAATGAAAGCTTTCTCTCTAAAATCAGGAACAAGACAAGGATCTCCACTGTCTCTGCTCTTATTCAACATAATCCTGGAAGCTTTAATCAGAGCAGTTATAGAAGAGAAAGAAATAATATTAGGAAAGGAAGAAATTAAATTACCATTCTTTGCAGATGACACAATACTCTACAAAGAAAATCTCCCAAACCACTGAAGAATTGCTAGATTTAATAAGCAAATTCAGTAGTGTACAAAATCAATACTCAAAAATTAATAGCCTTCCTGCAAAAAAATAAAAAACTGAGAGAAAAAATAGGGAAACAACAATTGCATCCAAAAAATGAAATACCTCAGCATCAACCTAAAAAAGGACATAAATGACCTCTACATTGAAAACTACAGTACTCTGAAAAATGAGACTGAAGAAGATATCAGAAAATGGAAAATTATCTCTTGCTCTTGGGTAGGAAGAACCAATATAGTGAAAATGGCTATACTTCCAAAACTATTGTACAGGTTTAATGCTATTCTGATCAAAATTCCAACAAGTATATCTCACAGAATTAGAGGAAAAAAAATCCTAAAGTTCATTTGGAACCAGATGGGACCTGGAACAGCAAAGGCAACGCTGGGAAACAAAGGCAAGGCAGGAGGCATCATAATCCCTGACTTGAAATTACATTATAAAGCTACTGTAACCAAGTGTTTGGTTACAGTAGCAATGTTTGCCAGCATGGTACTGGCAAAACAAAACAAAACAAAACAAAACAAAACACCTTGAAAATCAGTGGAACACATTAGAATCTGCAAAAACAACTCCAGACACACTCAGCCACCTTATCTTTGACAAAGGTGCCAAACATATTCACTGGAATAAAGATGGCCTCTAAGAAATGGTGCTAGAAAAACTGGCTCTGCACATGCTGAAGATTAAAATTGGGCCTATATATTTCACCATGCAGTAATGTAAATTCAAAATGGATCAACTATCTAAATATTAAAATATAAGAATTAAGGCTACTGGAAGATGGAAGAGGTAAAACTCATGAAGACAATGGTGTAGGCAAACACCTTATGAATAAAACACAATCACACAGGAACTATCACAAAGAATCAACAACTGGGATCTCACCTCACTAAAAGGTCTTGCACAGCAAAAGAAACCACCAACAGAGTGAAGAGACAACCCACAGGGTGGGGAAAAAAATGCTTGCCAGCTGTTCCTCACAGGATTTTTATCAAGAACATATAAAGAACAGATAAAGAACTCGAAGTCAGACCTGCAAGATTTATAGACCAAATCCAAAAATGGGCATCTGAGATGAACACACACTTCTGAGATGAAGAAATACAAAAACAGGAAATGATTATATGAAAAGCTGTTCAACATCATTGGTCATTCAAGAGATGCAAATTAAAACAACACTGAGATTCCACCTCACCCCAGAAAGAATGGCCATCCTCAAGAAATCAACTAATAACAAATGTTGGAAGGGCTGTGGGGGACAAAAGAGCCCTTCTCCACTGACAGTGAGAGTGCGGCTTGGTGCAACCACTGTGGAAATCAGTGTGGACATTCCTCAAAAAGCTAGGATTGGAGGTTCCATTTGATGCAATTATTCCCCTTCTGGGTATCTTCTGAGGAGAATTAAAAACATCATAACACAGCAATATATGTGCACCATATTTATAGTAGCACAATTTGTAATAGATCTTGGAGACGACTAAGATGCAGGTCAACCAAGGAATGGATAAAAACATGTGGTCTTTTTAAGAGATGGAGTAATACTGGGTCATAAAGAAGGATAAGCTGGACTCTCTTATAGATAAATGGGTGTTACTCAAGACCATACTCATAAGTGAAATAAGTCAGAAAGACAGGTATAAGCACTATATTATCCCCTACTGTGAGAAGCTAAAGGAGTACATAAGAGCCAGAATGTATAAGAAGTATTGTAAAATGGGAAGAAACTTCTAAAGGAAAGAGAAACTGGGATGAGGGAATAGAGAACAGACAGAAGGGAAAAGGAAAAAATACATAATATATATGATAATTAAGATACTTATACTACTAATTTTTCTTAGCTCATTAAGTAGAAAGGTTTGTGCTAATATTATTTGGGCAATTAAATGCCAATATTTTGTACTCTGACTAATTTAAAGATAATAGTATGCAATGTATCAACCATTGTTATCCCCCAATATCTTGTTTTGAAACTCTGTTTTATTTTTTCTTTAAAATAAAATTAAAGAAGATTTTCCTACTTAATATCTCTTCCAAAAAGAACACATTGTGTAATCATTCTTTTTTTTTATTATTTTTATTTTTGCGGAACCGGGGATTGAACTCAGACCCTTGCGCTTGCTAGGGAAGCACTTATTCCCCTGAGCCATCTCTCTAGCCCCTGTGTAGTCATCCTTAAGTGCTTACCTAGAAATACATGTAAGTTGTAGCCAGAATTATAAGAAGGTTGACCTGCCTAATTGTCGTTTGGCTTACAAAAGAAAGAGTACTCATCTTTGAAATTAACTTTACTATTGCACTTTCATCACCTCCATTCAGGATTTTGATTCCTAAGCTTTCCGATGTTAAACGATCAGCAGCCCTGGGCACAGGGCTCCATGCAACAGTGCTGCCCAGCACACAGGGACTTGGTGTGGCCCGCAGTGCTGCCAAACAAACAAGGTTTTACAGAATGTCTGACAGCCCATCAAGTTTTGTGTCATCAATAATTCATCTTAAGGAGAAAAAAATGGCAGAGAGGAAGACAAGTGAGCTGCCTCTGTGATACCCACGTGGTGACACCGAGCAGGCAGCAGACATGAATTTGGACTTTGAGAATGAGACTAGAAAGGAAGCTGGATCGTGGAAGTTATTTGGAAATTATGGAAATACTGGGCATTAGGAAAGCCAAACTAGTGCAAAGCCATTGTGGTTTGTCTCTGTCCCCTTTCCCATCCATCATTACAACACTTCTTCAAAACCCATCTGATCATCAGTCTCAGGGTCACTCCTGCACCCATCCTCTTTCAGAGTCAGAAGAAAAGTGTATGCCTAACACACAAGAGGTGGTGGCTTCCTGCTATTGTACCTCATTGCAGACTCAACACCTAGTGACAGCAAAGTACTAAAAGGCATCTACAGACCTGTTTCCATTCCGATGTAATAAGGATTGCTCATGAACTTTTTAAATTCAAGAACTATGTTGTTCTTTGCATATTAATGATATTTAAACTGGTAGAATAGTCCCATAGGTTCGAATGCCAAACCCTTAACAAGCATTTCGTAGTGAATTCCTTGTCCTTGAAGTAAGAGTTGTTTTCATCTAAGCTGTGAGACAAATCATAAGCTGTGAGACAAATCATAGAGTTCTTTTATCTGTCTTTGTTCTGGACCCTGAAATGTTCAAAGATAAATTAATTACTGACAATTATATCTATGGTAATCAGACAAAAACATTTATCCAGTGTGAAATACTATAGCAAAATCTTTGTTCTGCCTCTCCTTCAAAGAATTCTTTTTACATCTAAAAGAATGAAGGGAAACAGAAATCACTACTAATCAGAAATCAGAAATTTTATTTGCCCTATAGTTCTAAAATTTTATGCTGGTTTAGTTAATTGATTGGTAACGTAGAGGGGGAGATATATAGATTAATATAAATATATAATGAAAACAGATCAGCAATCCAATCTTCTATTACCACAGATTTGTTCATGTCTGTAGCAGGCAATTATCCCATCACAAACCCTCTTGCTTCTCTGAACCCTCCTTGTCCAGATGGCTGTATGTTCTTCTTTGCATTAGAATTATGAGACTGTGTTGTCCTTAGATGTCACCTTAACACATACATAGCATATACTGGTTACAAATATTCAGTGTCTCGCTTCACCCCTTTCGCCACTGACTCTAAGCACAGCTGAGCCTAGGAGAGCTGCAATGTGCAGGGCGGGAGAGGAAGCCTCGACCATCCAGCAGTGTCACGGAAACCACTGCAGCCTGGAAGGGGCTTGAAACTGAACAGTACCTGACGTCACCATTACTGATCCAATGCTGTGCTTACAGAGGCCGTCTCAGGAAAATGGTGGTCACAAAGAAAACACACCCCTTGGCTCCGTCATTATGCTCCTCTTAACACGCCCCTTGACATTTATGTCATTATGTTCCTCTTAAACTGGGCATTAAATGTTTCAGAAGGTAAGTTCCACAGCTAGACGGCAGGCTCAGCGTGCATACGGTGTGAGCGAAGACTTCCTTCCTAAGCTAACTATTTTTACAATTCTGAAATGAAACCAAAAGTAATCTAGGAAAACAAAACATTTTTAAAATTCAAGCTATTAGAGTTATTTTAAAGAATTTTATCCCAAGATAACAGCTATTTCTCTATACATACTGACACAAACAGATGTACAGAAACACACAAACACACACACACACACACACACACACACACACACGCCAGTTTAGAAGCTGTGCTTGTAGTTACTTAGCTGATTTGTTGAAATAAACTATAAAAACCAAATCCCAAACATTAAACTAAATTCTTGGGCTATTTTGAAGACAGGACACATAGCTAATTATTTAAATTCTTTTAATAATTTGTGTGCAAAACGTGTTTTCAACTGTGATTTTCTCCTAGAATCCCCCCCACACACACACACCTGCACACACACATCACAGAGCTTCTTCTCCTGTTAGAGTGAACACAAAGCCATGAACCCATTACCTCCTTGTTTCCAACCCTCTGCATGGCGTCTCCCAAGTGGAAATAAAATCGCCCATCATCGGTGCCTGGAGCCCCAGACTCTATTCCTTCCTGTAAAAAGAGCAGTGTTAAGAACTGTGATAGAATCAAATACTTGCCCATTTTCATCACTTTGTTTGCTTACATATGGAATATTGTATATCGTAGGAAAATCTAAGAAGGAGAAAAACACATTTAATATTAAAATTTGGCAATGAGATTTACTGGTCAACATTTACACTGCAGAAGCAAAAGGAAATCACAAAGCTAAATTTTACAGAACATTTATAATTAATTGTGGAATAGCCCATAAAATTAGCAGAATATCTCACACGTCCCCGGTATGGGAGCAACCATATTTCACTATTCCAAATAATCTCTGGCTGGGTATGTCTCACATGTAATTTGCTCTCCAAATTTGACCATATGTCATGTAGAGTCTTTCTGTTTCTGTACCCAAATGTTTAATTGCTTATGTCCAAAGTAATGGCACCCTAACTGCAAGTCATATTTCTTTACACTCAACAAACATGTCATGATTTTTTTTTAATGAAATCTCTTATAAAACATGAAGGATTCAAGTCAATTGAAATCTTGAAATTTTTATTTTTATTAAATAACTCCTAAAACATTTAGTTTATTTCTCCCTATCTCCTACAGGACTAAATTTGAAATTTATGTCTCAAGACAAAAAAAGTGGAAGAACATTAAATCAAGAGAATGAACTTGGAAAACCAAAAGAATAAATATCAAAAATATTAAATGTGAAGAACTTCTTTTCTAAAAAGCTTCCTCTTTAAAGGGACTTCATAAGAAGTCCCTTTCTGAGAGCCAGTGAGGGGGCCCAGCCCTAGCTCAGTTCTTTAAGTGGCTGCTTCCACAATGCTGGCAGCCTCAGTTTGCTGTAGTT